TTTTTTTTTGTGTGTGTGCCTATGATAACAGGGATTGGTCTCGCTTTCGCTATCGTCGTACTTTTTCCTAGTAAAGCCCGACGGTTGTGGCGACGGGAGCACACCATGTGGGCCCCACTCAACCATCGAGACCATCCTATTCTACCTCTCGATTTACCTCGTCGCCCTCGGAAACGGGGGCTACCAGCCCACCATCGCGACTTTCGGAGCGGACCAGTTCGACGAGGAGCATCCGGTCGAGAGCCACTCGAAGGTGGCCTTCTTTAGCTACTTCTACTTGGCCCTAAACCTCGGGATGTTGGGCTCCAACACGATATTGGGCTACTTGGAGAACGACGGCATGTGGGCCCTCGGGTTCTGGGCCTCCTCTGGCTCGGCAATAGCCGCTTTGGTCCTGTTTTTGGTGGGGAGGCCAAGGTATCGGCATTTCGTACCAAAAGGGAACCCTTGGAAATTGTTCTGTCAAGTGATTGTTGCGGCTTCGAGAAAATGGCGGGTCGAGGTGCCTTCGGGTGGTGGCGGTTTGTATGAAAAGCAAGAGTGTGGCTCTGAGTATGATAATGGGGCAAGGAAAATTCTACATAGTGATGGGTTCAAGTAAGTTGTTAGTAAGCATTGCCTTTAAAATCAACCACCATTATACATCCTCATCAGTTTTTATCTCTGTTTCCCCCTGCATTTCTCAAATTTTTATTACAACATTGAAAAGCGTTATATGATCAACGGTACAGATTCTTGGACAAGGCCGCGGTCGAGACCTCGATAGACTATGCCGCTGGCACTGGCCGCGACCCGTGGCGGCTGTGCACGGTGACCCAAGTGGAGGAAGTGAAGACCATAGGGAGGCTCCTCCCCATATGGCTCTGCACCATCATCTTCTCCTTAGTCTACACACAGATGACCTCACTCTTTGTCGAGCAGGGAGCCGCCATGGACAATCGCCTTGCCGGATTTCGAGTACCTCCGGCCAGCATGTCCGCCTTCGAGATCATCAGTGCCGCCGCCTTTATCCTCTTCCACCGCCGCTTGGTCGATCCAGCCGTGGCCAGCCTCCGGAAGTCCGGCAGTGGCCTGACGGAGATCGAGCGGATGGGTGTCGGGCTGGCGGTTGCCGTCATGTCCATGGTGGCTGCCGGCGTCGTCGAGCATTTTCGGATGAGGGACGCGGTTAGGTCCTCTAGCGGCCTCACCATATTCTGGCAGGTAATTTGATATTAATTACAAACTGAACGTTTGTAAACAAAAATACGAACATGACGCATGGCGGGTTGAGACACGATTTTTTGTTCAAAAAAATAAACGAACGAATACGAACATTGTTCAAATATAATCAAACCAGAGCTCAATATACTAAGGTTCACTCGTTTGGTTCAATTATAACACTAGATATATATAATAATGTTGACTATCATTATATTTGGAGATTAAAAAGTTAAAGCAATGTATTTACGTATATAGTGTTCAAGATAATACAACAACTAATTAATTACCATGCATCAGGTGCCACAATATGTCTTCATCGGTGTTTCCGAAATCTACATGTTGGTCGGGCAACTAGAGTTCTTCAACGGTCAAGTGCCCGATGGCCTAAGGAGCTTCGGAAGCGCGCTTAGCATGACTTCGATCTCGTTGGGAAACTACGCGAGTAGTTTGATTCTAACCATAGTAACTGAGGTCTCGACCTCAGGTGGTGACCCTGGTTGGATTCCTAGGAACCTTAACCGTGGCCATTTGGACAACTTTTTCTATCTTCTAGCTATACTGACAGCGGTCGATCTAATGATATATATCGTGTGTGCGAAGGCGTATAAGTACACGAAGTTCGAGGAACGAAGCAATGTTAGAAGGAAGAATGTGGATGTGTGATGAGCTTTATGCGAGACGTTTACACGAAGAGTTGTTTGTATCACATATTATACAAATTGTTTTGGTAGTTTTATTGATATTTAGCAATTGATGATTGATAAAATTTCTTGTAATGCATGTTCATATGTTTGAAATTGCATGTATTGTGGGGGGGAATTTATAGAAGAAATTCAAATATATTGGGATTGAGTTGAAATTTTAATTGATAGTTTTATTTTATTTATTTTATGATCAATTACACCAATGGTATGTTTGTCTTTGGACTCTGTCTTGTGTTTGTTAGAGTTTTGCCGCCTTTGTGGTCCTACTCGGCTCGATTCTGGATTAGTCGATTCCCTTGTGCATCCGAAAACCGGAAGGTCCCTGTACCAAAAAAAATAAAAAAATAATTGGGTAATATGTAAGAGCAGTTCGTATAATATAAATCCATATGGTAGAAATCTATATATATATATAATTGCTGGCATGTAGCATTTATTAAAATATTTAATAAAACCTCTAAAATTTTTCATCCATTTTTGGTTACAAAATTTGTCATTATTATTTTTTACTTCTCACATTAATACATCTTAATGAGTGTAATCATGTATGTTTCTATTATATTATATAATAGTTATTGTTAATACTTACTAATAATAATTCACAATAAATATAAATTACATAATTATAAAAAATTGTTTCAAGTTATGTATTTTAACATCAATATTATATTTTTTCTTTTGTATCTCATAAAAATATTTCTTTAAAAACAATTAGTAAATTGTTTTAATAACATAGTTAAACAACTTTAGAATCTTATAAATAATTATTTTT